CACCGCTGGGCAGCCGCTGAGTAAGGGGCCCCTGCCAGCACCCCTCAGCCGTGACCTGAGGGCACCGCCTCTGGGGGGAACAGGCTCCCGAGGGACACACCATCTCCAGCCTGGACAAAGCCCAGGGAACTTGCCATAAGGACCGTTTCCATCTCAGTGCTAGGCCTCTGTGGGTATGTTCCCTGCCCCCCTCCCGTCACGCAGCCTCCCCAAACCTCCACCCCTCCCCTCTGCCCCTGCAGCTCCCAGAGACCCTCCCTCCTCCTCTGCTCTTACCCCATCAGGCTCCCAAGGGAGCTCCCTGCTGAGTTCCCTACTGGCCTGATCAAGTCACTACCTGAACCAGAGTTCGGGGGCTGGGAACATTCGGGGTAAGCGATTCAGGCAGGGATCCCAGGCAGGCCCAAACCCACCTGCCTCCCGGACAGACAACCCCAGACTCTGCAAACTCGGGGTAGGGAGGACGTAACCCGATGGCACAAATGTCTCCTCCCTGCCCCCCATGTGGTCCAGCCCAGAAACGCCCTGTGCTCTGGGACCCTTTGTATCCCCACAGCAGGGCAGAGGGGTCTAGGGCTGGATTGCTGGACATTGTGGTCACAGCCCAGACTCCTCTGGGATCCCCACAACTGAACACCCCCGGGTGCCCTCGGATGAGCCAGGCAGGAAGAGGAGGAGGATGCTGGAGAGGCACAGACTGACCTGCACGGTCACCAGGGGCAGCTGCAAGGCAAACAGACAGGAGATGGCTGGTTAGAGGGACAGGAAACACCCCCCACTGCCCACGGGTCTGTCTGTGACCTCCCCAGGGCCGGGGTGTCTCTGGGGCCATGGGGGCTCATGTGGACAGCAGTGGGGGTGACAGAGAGCAGGGACAGTAAGGGGAGCCCATGAGGCTGGAGCCCTCGCACCTCCCATGCCCCGCTCTGCAGTGGCGGATACGGGGCAGTGGTTGGTTGGTCTGTGCGTGGAGGAGCAGGGCGAGATGCTGGGGTCTCTGCCAAGGGGCAGTCTGAGGGCCGGGGGTCTGCGTTGCAGCCAGTGGCCGGGCGTGGTGGCTGGGAGGGGAGCTTTGTTTACAGGATGCGAAAGGGGTTCTGTGGGCCATACTGGAATTGTCATTTGGTGAAATGGGCTTGTGGCTGGGTCGGCCGAGGACGGGTCCATGTGATCTGTTCTTGCCCGTTAGGTTGGTTGGTTGTTCCACTCTGCAGTGGGACGCTCAGGCTGGGTGCCAACAGGGACGGAGTTAGAGTTATTTCCGCAGCGCCTATTGTGCATTTCTGAACCTTCCCAATACCTGCTTGGTGACTGAGCTGGACGTAAATGATGGGGAAACTAGACTGTGCTGTCGAAACAACACGGACTGACCCGTTTTCAAACTGCTGACACCCTGTCATCCAATGCTACTGTTCTTGTACTGCACTGGATTGAAATGTGGCCTCACTTAGCTGCCTTCATGACAAGTTAACGCAGTTTTTCTCTGGGAATTTCCTGTTCCAAAAGACCAACCCAGCTGAGCCAAATGATTGCTGGGAAATTCCAAAGACTAAACTAGACTGTAACTCGGTGTTAAAAGGGTCAGGAGATCTTAATGGAACTTTGCTCCCTTCTGTTTACGGCCACTTCTATCATCCAAATGAAAAGGAGCTGCCGGGGTCGCTGTCTGTGTCAGGGGGATGGGGAGAAGTTAATTGGAGGCTGACACAAACAGGCACTCTCTGCAGTAAGGTCTGCGCGGATCGTTCAGCCTGCTGTGCGGGCGCCATGGGGCTGTTATGTTCCCATGCTGGGTGCGTCGTCACACACAGATCCCTGGGACTTGTGCTGCGTTGTGAGTGGTATAACGCTCCATCTGTTCTGACACTAATATCTAAAAGCCGCTGCTGACCCGAGACCGGCTTCTTTCCTTGGGATGCTGATGCCAGGAGGGGCTTATGTTGATGCATCTGAGCCATGAAACTGCTTCTTGCTGGACCCACCTTCCCGGGGAGGAGGTGAAGAGCGAGGGTTACGCTACACAGGGTTAAACACTCCTGTCTGTCTCTCACTGGGAAGTTTCATGTTGCAGTGACACATCTATGGCACATTGCCCTGGGCCCTACTCAGATAGGATGAAGGTGACACATCTAAGGCACATTGCCCTGGGCCTACTCAGATAGGACGAAGGTAGTGCTAGAAAGTGGCAGCTGGTTTGTAGCTCCCCCTCACGCTCTCTATATCTTGCAACCACCCCATTGAGGGGCTGGGGCGCATCCAGCCATAGGGGGCAGAGGATGGACTCCTGTTGTCATGGCCAGTGACACGCTGGACACCTTGTTGTTTGCTGAGATCTAATGCGTCTCACCTTCCGGGTACTGGGAACGAAGTTTACGTCCAAACTGAGGATTCGAAACTTCACTGGAAAGGAGCAGAGGCAGGAATCAGCCCCGGATTGGTTTATCTGAATGAATTCCCAGATGGGGAAGGTGCCAGCTGGATGCCCCGGGCACTGACGGCCTCTGTGAACCCACAGAATGGGCCCAGCCCGGGCAGCGAAGCACCAGCTTCCCCCCACTGCCCTCTACCAATGAGCCATGGCCCTGCCCTGGGCGGCTGGAGGGGAGCTCAACCTCCAGGGCCCAGCCAGCCCCCCACCTCCCTGCTGAGGCTGCCAGAGGAGGCCGATTGGTCCCCCCTGCAGAGTCTGTGCCATCACCAAGGATGGGCTGAGACCCCCATTGGTTCCATACAGGCCCCCAACACAGGCCTCAGGCTTTGGACCTCTCGCCCCCTGCAGCTGGGTGCAGACAGGGGCCTAGAAGTGAGAGTCCCGAATCCCTCGCTAGGCCCCCAGCCCATCCCCAGAGCCCGGGAGTCCGTCCCAAGGGCCTGGGGCCCCAGGATACTCCCTCCAGCAGCTCCTGGCCCTCTCACCTGTCTGTCCCGGCTTGTAGACGGCCTTGTCCGTCTGCACAAAGGTCCCGGGCTGCAGCGCCTGCAGCAGCACTTTCTTCCGCTCAGAGAACTGCAGGGCATCTCCCCGGATTGAGACGTGCAGCTCTGCCACTTCCTGCTGCCCCTTGGATGGGGCTGGAACCTGCACACGGGGACCCCCAGCAAGGCCACAGCAGCCGGTAACGGGCCGGTCGTGGTGCAGACCCGCTATCGCATGGGGCAGTGGTGTTTGTGAGTCCCTGTTCCCACCCCCCAAAACACAGGAAACCCACTCCCCAGCCTGGGGGCCCTGAATGGGAGGGAGCATGAACCTGGGGCCTTCGATGGAATTGGAAGCCAGGGGCTCTCTGTGCCCCCCACCCCATCCCCGCTCCCTCCTGCCTGTCGCTGCTGAGGGATTGGCTCGAGTTCTGTGGCTACAGCTGCCCATTGAGTGACCAGCTCCATGCCCATGGCCAGTCCCCTGAGCCCTGCTGTGCCCGGGGCCTGAGGCTGGGCTGGGGCTGCAGACCCGGGGCTGATGGGCTCCATGCCCATGGCCAGTGCCCGGGGCCGTGCCAATGGCTGCGGGCAGGGGCTCACCTGGAACCGCACGTTCTCGTGCAGACGGGGCTCCTGGACATCTCTCTCCAGCAGGGTGATAGCGCTGGGCCCATCCCCCCTCTCCAGCCGGATGCTCACCCGGACGGTCTCGTTGAGGTCGCTGAGATGAACTGACATCGTCCCCGTGTGCGGGTGGTAGAGTACGGCTGGGCTCACCACCACATAGTGCCTGGGGAGGGGAAAGCACCATGGGCAGTGGGGGAATGGGATGGGAGGGGACAGCCCAGAGCCTCCCCCAGGACCGGGGGTGACTCCCGCTTTCTGAGTGTCCCTCCTGCTGGGACAGAGCTGAGTTGACGGTGCTGGAGACTGATTAGTTTCTCTAACCACAGGGCAGGGGCAGGACAAGGCCCCCCTGCTCCTTCCCCTGCCCCAGCCTGCCTCCCGCAGAGCTGGAGGGGAGCCGGGGGCACAGAGAGGGGCTCAGTCCCAATCCATCCCCAGCCTCTCGGCTGCTCGGTCTGCCCAGAAGGGGGCATCTAGTGGCGCTGAGAGTGAGCAGAGACCCCTGTGCATGGCGGGGGGAGGCTGGTTAGTCTGGGCCTGTACTGAGCACCTGAGCCCTTTGCCTCCAGTAACTGGCTTAGATACAACCCCACCGCCACCCCCAGCTCAGTCTGCACCCCGGGGCCTCCACCCGCTCTTGCAGGAACCCTTCGGCGTTTGCACCTTCGGGACAAACCCAGGTTCTGGCTGTGATGTTCGTTTACCTCACTGGGTTCGTCAGTAATTCCTGTTCTCTTTCACTGGTGCCTAGAGGCCCAGCCCAGCCTGGTCCCCCTGCACTGGGACTGGACAGACCCATAGGCAGAGACAGGCCATGGCCTGAGGAGGTGACAGGCTGATGGGAGCAGGCGGTCGCAGAGGATCATCACCCCATGGTACAGAGGGGAGCTGAGGCTCAGAGGGTCGGTGTCTAGCCGGGGGTGCACAGGGCATCTGTAGCAGAGCCGGCACTGAACCCAGCTCTCCTGCCCCCCAAGCCACTGCCTTAATCATAGCCAACCTCTCCCGCCGCTGGGAGGGGCAGGACCAGGGGGGCCCTGGAGGGACCCAGCGTCAGGGACTGAGCTCCCAGGGGAGAACAGATCTGTACCATCAGTTTCAGATTGAGCAGCCCCCTCATTGGTGCCCTCGGCTACTTCCAACCCCCCCGCACCGCCCACCACACGGACAGACAGACAGACACGGACAGGGCTTACGGCTCTGCAGACGTCCCAGCTGTCAGGTGCAGGAGGAGCAGCAGGCAGGCCGGGGTTACTGGGGCCCCCATTCCTGGGGTGCAGGCAGACGGGCCGGCACAAGGGGACACACACACGTCACCCCCCTCTGAGTCCTTCTTCCTCCCTCTCTCCCCCGCTCTGTGCTGGAGACCAGCCTGCTCTGCCCTGATACAGACTCTGGAGCCGGAGCTTCGCTTTGATCCGGGGTAAACA